GTGATGCCACAGCAGTAATGATGATGATGGAGGGTTGGCTGAGATCTTGATCAGCCACCCTACTGCCACAGTCACACAGCCCCCTAGCTAGGGGGGATCTTGAATTGTTGCCATACTGCAGCTGCAACAGTGTAGAGATAGTGAAAAAGAAAAAAAATATATATATATGTCTGTGGCGCAGCCCCCTAGCCAGGAGGGTCTTCAACAGGTGTCCAGGTGGCAGTGTAGATTGCCACGTCTGCAGGCACCAACACCCACGGCGTGCGCGCGAGAGGGGGGGGGCAAATAGCTGTGCAGCACGCTGTTCGCTGCTCGCCGATGGCGGGGGGGGTAAATAGCTGGTGTGGAACTGTTCAACACGAACGTTCCATACTATACAGCCATGCACACAGTTTGGTCAGTGTGTTATAGCACTGGCTACGCACGCGCATGAGTGCTGCCTGCCGAGGTTCAAACCCTGGCAGCGGCAGCAACATCCCGGATATCTTGATAATATATATTCAGGGCGGGGCAGCGGGGCAGCGGGGGCACGTGGCGCGCACACGCGTGCGGCGGCCTTGGCCTTGGCGCTTGCGCGCATGCGTGTGTGATGACGCTCTTCTTTTTCGCCATGTGTCACTCTCTTCCCGCTGCTGCTTTTTTTTTCCCCGTTTTTGCTCTGTTGCCGCACCGAAAAACACCTGAAAATCTCGTTGTCGGGATTACACCGATCGCACACCAACTATTGCATGTGGGGGGAAGGGCGGGTTGGAGCGGGGACTGTTCCCGCTCTGATACCAGCGTGCCGGACCCGCCGGGATGGCGGTCCGACAAGATGGAAACGAAGGGTGGACGAAGGAGGAGACAGAGATGGAGCTGGAAGGGGCAGCGCAGCTCCGACGCAGACTCAACACGCACGTACTCCAAGATCTGCAAAAGTGAAGAATGACGAAAAACAGACAAGTGCTGGGGTATACCCCCAGCGGACTGACTGACTGGACTGGACTGGCTTGGTACTGACAGTGGTACCGGGCAGGACTAGAACAGCACACGGCCTGGTCCCACAGGCCGAACTGGGCAAATAGCCCAATAGGCCCTGGCTGTAGGCCAGGGCAGATGAAGGCCCGCTGCATACGAGCTGCTATGCTGATTCGCTCCGGTCATCGAAGTAGCTGGGCAACAGAGTCAGGGGATTGCTTACCATCTGTTGTGTGGCTTAACTTGTTAACCAGGGCGCAGGCTTACCTGCCGACCTCTATGACTGTTACGGATTGTGTACGGCTACGGATCGTGGACTACGGGCTGTTGCTGCTGGCAACGACCGTGCACAGTTACTGCTGTTGCTGCTGGCCACTACTGTATACCGCTACTGCCATTGTTAATGACTGCTGACTGTCACAACTGGTGAGCGGCTGCGATCAGGCGAGGTTTGGAGGGATTATCAGATAGGACAAAAGAGGGAGTTATTGCTGCGATTTTGAGGAGCCGTCAGGGGGATTGCGATCAGCAATTCGGACTTGGATTTCACCAAGTTGATACATTGGTTGCCATTGCGGGGCCCTCAGGCGAGTCAAGGAAGCAAGGCCCTCTCCAGTGAGCTTGAGAGCACCCCTCTGGTATCTGAGAGTCTCAAAACCATCTCTCTCTACCCTTTTGACTCTAAGTCTAATCCTGGTTACGAGAGGAAGGCGACAGGCGGGATGGCAACCCGTAGGACCGCAGCAAGACTCCATGGGGAAGCAGCCCACCGATTGCGGGAGCTCTGCCGGAACTCAGGAGGAGTTCTGGAGGCAAGGAATTGGCAGGTAACCTCTACCTTTCTCTCTATAAACCCTGTTATAACCCTCATTTGTATTTCCCTCTGCATCTCTGGCTGAGTATATGGTGTGCAGCCCTATCTTATTTCTTGGTTTGACTTTCAGGACACCAAACAATACACAGTAAAGGAATGTCTGCTCAAGTCTCAGTTTCAACTTTGTTGGTTGTATGAAGTCAGACTGTTGAAAAGAACTGCATCAGGGAACGGCAGGATGATGGGAGGATTTATATGATGATTAACCGGGTCATTAAGGCTGGGAGTTCCCATAAGTTTGGGGAACCCCAGCGCTTTGTTTTATTTTGGTTTTGCATGGAGAAGTCAGACCCTTCTATAAGTTTAGGGGGTCTGATTACTCTGAAGGGTGGGATGTCCCCATAAGTTTGGGGAGACCCAGTGATATGGTTTGTATGGAGGGTCAGACTGTTCTGTAAGTTCAGGTGGCCTGACTGCTCAAACCTGTGAGGAGTTTGATTGTGCTTGATTTTCAGGGACTCGGGGCGCTCAATAAGTTTTTGTGCTCTGAGTTGCCTTGTTTTCATAGGGATTTCACTTGTTTCTTTGGTTTCTGAACGAGGGGACCGAGCAGTTCTATAAGTTCAGGTGACTCTGTCCCTTTCTGCTCTTTATTCTGAAGAAATAATCTTGGCAAAGAGGCAGACCCTTCTGTAAGTTCAGGGGGTTTGACCCGATGCCACACACATGATGGCTCAGATAGAAACGAATTTGGCAGAGAGTCAGACCCTTCTGTAAGTTCAGGGGGTCTGGCTCAAGGCCTCGCACATGCTGGGACCCAATGGTTATAACTTGGCTATACTTTACTACTACTCTATCTAAGAACGAGCTAATCAGACTGTTCTATAAGTTTAGGTGGTATGACTATATCCGTATCACAACTTGAAGATGTATAACTAAGAATAAAACAGATGGTAAACTTGGGCAGGCTCAAGTTAAGTTAGTTTAGTCATATGCAGCCTTAGAAGACAAAGGCGAAGACAAATATATATAACTTGGATACGTTTAAACAGTCCAGGGCGACTGGAGTAGTCTAGTTATGTGCCCAAAGAAGAGAAAAGTAGTTGTACCCTTTGTTTGTGTATATTTGGCCAAGTCAGAACGCTCTATAAGTTCAGGCATTCTGACTCTGGGCCTGGCTAAGTTGGGTGCGCTCTGTAAGTTCAGGCGGCCTGACATATGCCTTATGTAAGATGGGTATAAAGGGTTAAATCATTGAGAGATTATGAACTATTGTTTGTTCAGGTTGACTTGGGGCTGGTGAGAGTACTTATCTTTCTGGTTTGGCTTGCATGTGACGGAGTGAGGCCACTACTAAGTCTGAGTTTCAGGTTGATAGGTAGTTGCTTTAGTTGCTCGCCACCTGCTAGAGCCATAGGAGTTAGTGTCAATTCCTGCATTTTCTGTAGTATCTTTTTTTTACTTAGGTCAATTCCTGCATTTTCTGAGATTTTTTTTTATACTTGGCTTTGTATAAATCTTGGCAAGCTACTTTCTCTAGGGAAAGCGCTGCCGAAATTTCTACAAATCCAAGTAGTTAGTTAAATTTTGACTTGTCAAAAGTTCAGTTTTGTTTTTCCTCATATCTGACTTAGTTAAAATCAGGGAAGTTTCCTTTTCTAAAGGGAGTGCTGCCCAAATTTTTGCTAATTCAAGGAGTTGGACAAAATTGAACTTTGGAAAATCAAAGTTTTTTTCAAATTCTGGACTTAGCCTTGTATGAATTTTGGAATAACACTTTTCTAGAGGTATGTGCTAAGAATCAGATTCTAGATTTGGTTGCCTGCGATCACATATATACGTATGGATGTGAGGGGACCCCAATGAGATTGTGAGAAGTGATCGTTACATACTTCCCCCTTTTATTTATATATATATAATGGTGTACCTGGGATGAGTGTTTGCATGGGTTAAGGGGGCCCCGTACAAAGAGCATACTCAAAGGTTAAGACTGAGAGGCCCAGGGAAGACCCTTCCTTTTATTTTGCTTTGCTTCTTGAGGATTTTCTTAGTCGGACGTTGGTCCTGGGCCGGGATTCAACGTCCTTGTCCAGGACATCCCAAGCCCTAGGCTCTGCAGGGGAGGGGTTTTCCCTCGCGCTGAGCTTATTTATCTTGACTACCGAGACGCTCAGACCAAAGGTCGGGGGTCTAGCGGCGGCTGCACGACTATTCCTTCAGTCGTGCAATATCGTGAAGGGTTAGACCCTCACGACACTTCGAGTCTGACACTTGAGTGTCATAAGCGGTACTCGGATCCACGAGGGACCGCTTGATTATGAACACTATATAGTACGTCATCATTGCGACTGTTTGCGTACGCTTGCATTGCTAGTCGATATGAGTAGGCCCTGCGCCCGCGCGGTTTTGTACTAAGTCTCGGGCGCGACGCCTGCCCGATTTCCGCATCGAAAAGTTATGGGATGGCTACCGAGGGGCTATGAGCGTTGTCGCGTTGTTTGTGTTGTGTCTTTTTGTATGTGTGTATGTGTATGTGTGTTTTATTTTTGTGTTCGTAAAGTGGTGTGCGCGTGGTGTGTGGGAAGCGTCCTAGTCAACCGGGGACGAACCGCGCTTGGGACGTCAGCCCCCCCAAGATGCCGGTTCGCGCGCTGGTCCGATAGAGGCGTACTACCGTGCGTACCCCCTATGCTACACCGAACGAGAAACGCCCTCGGCTGGTCCACCTTTGCGATTGCAACTGATTAGCTTTCGTAGTGTGGACTGGTAGCTCGGCAGGGATACACCCACCGAAGGGAGGTGACAACTCCCGTAAGGTGGAGGTAAGACGTGCCTCGCGCAGGCCCCATCCTGTCGTAGGGGCTCGCGGGAGGTATGACTGGCTCACTCGGCCGGAGCGGCTTGCAGAAACTCCACATGTATATCTCCGACGAAGGATTTAAGCCAACTCCTGCGTGACGCGGCCGAGAGGGTCCCGCGCTGCCCTGGTGCGGTGCCGGACCGATGCGCTCGACAGGTGGCGCCGTTGCCGGGGATAACGGAAAGCCTACCGTTGTCCCTGGTGGAACGACATCCGGGTATGAGAAGTGAATGGGAAAAGGCATAAAGGGATGACGAGAAGGTAAGTTTACCTACCTGAGTTAAGGGAAGTTACGAGGGACAATCGTGTTAGCATTGGGTAAAGTATGTAGTAAGGGTTAGGTAGAGTAGGTGGAATAGACCGGTCAAGGTGTAATGCTGAATAAGGGGTTGTGCTTATTTTTCTCTTGTCAGGGAGCTTGAAGAGGAAATTCTGTTAAAATGTCGCAGGGCGGCAGCACATCGGGTGGTCCCAGGAAGGGTCTGACACTCGATGACCTCATCGTGGTCATTGACCGGCATGAAAGGAACCCGAGCAATATCCCAAAGGTCGATATCTTCCATTTTTGTGGCGAGAGAGTCTCAGAATGGCTGGAGCGGGTGGAACAGGCTTTGGTCGGGCGGTCGGACGTTGTAAATTTTCAGCGCATTCTTCAGTATGTCCTCCACAGCTACCACCAAGAAGTGAAGAAAGTAATAGATGCGGCCCAAGGTAGCTGGGAAAGATTCAAGGAAGGAATGCAGAGGAAGTACCGCCTGAGAGATGGACCGTTGACCACTACGGACCTTGAGGCAATGAACAAAGAGGACTTTACGACGATAGGGGCCTTTGTTCAAGAATTCAAGAAGAGGGCACGAAAGGTCCATGGGATTTCGGAGGAGGCGCAGTGCGCCATCTTCCTGGGACTACTTACGGCATCGGAGGCCGTCGAGCTGACGAGACATGGAGGGGGTAGCACCAAGCTCACCCGGGCCACCATTGACAAGGGGGTGGAAGTTGGATGTCTGGACCAGGTGGAGCAACGTCAGGTACGCCTGCAAAGGCAGAAGAGAAAGGAAAGAGATGCGACCGCTTTTGGAACCCCGGGAGTAAAAAGGATTGTTGCGGACGTACTGGCGCAGCTGGGATATGCGACAGAGTCGGTGGTACAGAAAAGGGTAGTGACGGGTGTCCAGGTGAAAGGAAAGAAGCCGGTAATAGAGGAGGTCCTTCAGAAGGAGCTCTGGAAAAAGGAAGAACCGGTGCCGCAGCACCTGACGAAGGCCCAGCGCAAACTGCGTAATTTGGCGCAGGGTGGGCAGAGGTCAGAAAAAGCGCAGGCGCCCCAGGCCTTGACAGCGACTCCTCTAAATGTGGCGGCTCCATCCTCTAGTCTGTGACCCCGCCGCCGTCGCCCGCTCCCAGTTCACAGGGAAATGTGGCTGGAGGTGGGAATCAGGGGCAGGGCAATCAAGGCAACGGAGGGAGGGGTGGAGGAAGGGGGCAAGGCAGGAATGACGGCGGATGAGGAGAGCGGAATGGTCAAGGCCGGGGAAACCAAGGCCAGGGGAATCAAGGCCAAGGATACCAAGGTCAGGGGTATCAAGGCCAGGGGGATCAGGGAAGTCAAGGGTATGGGAGACCCCGTTTTGACTGAAGGTCGGCCATCTGCCAGCATTGTGACCAGCAAGGCCACACTATAAGGTTCTGTAACATAAGGTGGGAGGACGAGAAAAACGGGCTGATTTCCTCCACTATGGATGGGAACATTTATGATCAGTTTGGGGAATTCATCGACAGAAGGCTCGGGGGAGTGAGAGCGGAAGCCCAACGAAGGGCGGCAGCCGGGCCGCTAGCTCCTGCTACATTCAGGCTGTGGAAGGAGAAGAAAGGACCGTCGGTGGGGATAGAGGAATTCAAGCTATGGCAGGAAAAGGAAGAGTCACCGATTGGGGTAGAGGAAGTGGGAAGCGATGAGGAAGTGACTCAAGGGCCACGAGGAGGAAGTAAGAGGGAAGAACCCATAATTATCGAGTCAGACAACGAGGGTGAGGAAGAAAAGATGAAGCCTCCGTCCGTTTTGCTGGGAAAAATGGAGTACTATATGGACAAGGTGGGAAGGTACCAACAAAAGTTGGTAAACCTCTGTGAGGAAGTGAGGAAATGGCGGTCTAGCATCCCAAGGTGTTCCTCTATGACTCCGGTCCGGAATCAGCGCCTGGGCGACCCGGAGTAAATGTGGTAGGATCGGGCTCACAATCGAGAGTGATGGGGAGACCCCTCACCCTGCAGCCCCGACTGGCGCAGGCAGCGCGAACGAGAAGTCAAGCCAAGGCCAGCGTCAGCCAAGAGCCTCCAAGGAGGAGGGAGCCCGAACCGGAAAAAAGGAAAGAGGCTGTGGAAGTGGAGGATAACGATGATGAAGTGGAAGAAGACAAGAGGCTGCGCCGGAAAGAGGATCAGAGAGCGGAGCAACGGGCAAGGAAAAAGGGAACCAGGGAAGAGGCCGAGCCGGTCATACGTGACGGACCGCCCAAGAAGAAAAAGTATGCGGTTCGGTTGGAAGAGGGTTTGATGTAGAGCGGATGATCGACAGGCTGCTAGAAGGGCATAACGATCTTATGACCCTGAAGGAAATCCTGGCGTCAGCCCCGCCGCTCCGCGATGAATTAAAAGGGAGGTTGTCACGGCACTTGGCGCCTAACGTCCATCTGGGTACGATCCTGCCCAAGGAGGCAGAGTGGGCGGATTCGGACACGAAGATGGATTGGAAGTGCGTGGCCTGCGGCATAGTGGATTTGGTGGTAAAGGGTTCCAAATGCACAACAATGATGGACACCGGGGCGGAGATGAACATTATTCGAGAAGCAGATGCTATCAGGTTCGGGCTGGACATAGACCGATCTGATTGCGGAATTTTGCACGGGGCCAGGTGCAAGGCCGTATTTTGTGGGACAGACTCGAATGTACTCATCGAGGTTGGAAAGGTGAAGGTTCGGGCCTGTTTCTTCATCATGCCGGACGTGGATCACGGAATCCTCCTGTGGAGGTTATTCCTGAGCAGGACGGAGACCGTGATGTTCAATAAGCATGATGAGACGTTAATTCTCCTCCTATGTGACCCTGCCTGCGGGAATTACGAAATAATTACCTGCAGAAACACAGGACCGAGGAGTATAAGGAACCGACCAAATCCAGGATTGTTCACAGTCGAAGAATCGAAAGGTGAGCATCGGAGGCTACGGGCAGAGCCAGAAGCGGGAGAGAGGGTGGAAGCATTTTCCCTCAGCTTATCGGACGTCGGGAAGGCCATGGACTTGGTGACCGCGCATGAAATGGCAAATCCGGATGCCATCCATGCCTTGAGGGAGCAAGTCTTAGAATGCCCCGAGGCAGGAAGGTTGGAGCTGGTATATCGGCTTCCAAACGGCGGGAGGAACCCCGCATCAGCACAGGCGCAATCTGTGAGTCGGTCTTTTTTAGGGGACGGCTCAAGCAGGGTTCCCAAATGCGGTACAAGACGGTAGACAAGAAGTGTGGCCCGGTTCCCATCCTCGTTACAGAAGACGAGAAAGCATACTACAAGAGGGAACGAAGGTTGATACGGCGAATGAGGGAGAGTGCTCTAACAGGGCCATGTCGTATCAACGAAGAGAATGAGGGGAAGTTGATTATAGGGGAACCCGACTTCCTGCTGCCTCAGGAACGAACGTTGATGGTGGAGCTGATGAAGAGGAAGCATCGCGCCTATGCATTTAGTGACGAGGAGCGTGGCAGGCTGGATGTAGACAAGATACCTATGATCCGCATCCATACCATGCTACATGAACCTTGGAGCATGAGACGGGCGCAATATCCTAATCCTGACGAGGAAAAGAAGGTGGCAGATTACCTCGACGGCAAGATATGTACACACGTCGCCGACTATTCAAGTGGACCGTATGTGTCCCCGTGGTTCTGCTTCATCAAGCCTAACGGGACGCTGCGGTGGGTGCAAGATTTGCAGAGACTAAATGCGGTGACCGTGCGGGATGCTGGAGGACTCCCAAATGCGGACGCTTTGTCAGAATCCTGTGCTGGAAGGCCTATAATCTCACTTATAGACCTTTACTTAGGATATAATCAGTTTCCGGTCTATCCGCCGGACAGGCCGGTGACGGCTATGCACACGCCGCGAGGACTAATCCACATGAACGTGGCCCCTCAAGGGTGACCAACGTGGTAGCAATGGTCCAACGGGCCATGATTTGGGCTATGCAGTCAGTCAGCCCTCATATCACACAACCATACATCGATGATTTGGCAGTAAAGGGGCCGACAGTGAAGGAGAGTGACGAAGTCTTGCCAGGGGTAAGGCGCTTTGTTTGGGAGCACATCCAGGACCTCAAAAAGGTCCTGAGCCTACTCCAGGAGCATAACCTCACGGCGAGCGGGGCCAAATCCAGACATTGCATGAGGGAAGCGACTATCCTGGGGTTCGTCTGTAGCGAAAGGGGCCGAAGACCGAATGTAAACAAAACGGACAAGATTACAGAGTGGGCAGTTCCGTTCCACTCAATAACTGATGTTACGAGCTTTCTTGGTACGTGTGGATTTTGGAGGGCCTTCATCAAGAACTTCGCTGCTAAGACTGGACACCTGAGGAAGTTAGTCCGTCAGGATCAGGAATGGGTATGGGGTGAGGAACAAAAAGAGGTGGTGGCGAGAATGAAGGAGGAATTTCGAAAAGGAGGGTTGGTGTTAGGAGCGCCGGATTATGATGCCACGGAGACGCGATCCTTCATTGTCGAAATGGATGAGGGGCCGACTGCCTTAGGGGGAATTCTAATTCAGGCAGACATGGAAGGAAAGGAAAGACCTCTAAGGTTTGAGAGTCGTACTCTCTGTACGACCGAGAGGAACTACTCTCAGTTCAAGAGGGAGACCCTTGCTGTCCTCCACTGCATGCGTATCTTCCGGAACTACATCTTTGCAGGAGGTTTATTTTGAGAGTGGACCCGACCGCCCTGGCCTACTCTCTAAGGAATTACGTTCCATCGGATCCGACGGTTGCCAGATGGCTGATGTACATCTGGATGTTTAACTTTGAGTTGGAGCGGATTCCTGGCAGTAAGAACCGGGCAGACGGGCTGAGTCGGATCAACTGGGATAAACAGGAAGGGGAGGCGGTGGAGAATACACCCCCAGTTGATGGATTTCTGGATCAGGAAGAAGATGTTCATCTCCATATCAACAAGTGGTCGCCGCGAGTGCCCAGCTGTGTACGCTATCCTATCTGGCAAGCGCCGAATGGGTATGAAAGGAGGGTCGAACTAGTCCTTAAACCCTTTGAAGAAGAAGATCCTTGGGGTGGTAAGGATGTTCAGTGGATGATGGAGTTGGCGATGACTAGTTCGCATAGTCTGGTGGAGGACATGAAGACGATCAAGGAAGAACCAGGCCAAGTAGAATGGCATGAGGACCTGATGGGAGGAATGTATCTCCTCGTCAACACGTTATTGCAAAAAGCCTCGACCAGTCCGGCTCGTTGAACCCGGCAGGGAATGTGGACGAAGTGCCTGAGAGCCAAGACGACGAGTTCGAGGAAGGGGAGATTAAGGAGGCTTTTCGTGCAGAGGAGTATGACGGGATCTACCTAGAGTTGGAACTCCTTTTGTCTTGCGAAATGCGGCTAAGGGACGTGAGCGATAGGGCTCAGAGGATGCTGCAACGTTACTTAGTGCGAGACGGCCACCTTTTCGTAAGAAGAGAAGTGGGGAATCCCAGGAGATTCGTTTGCGGTAGAAACTGTCAGATTGACGTCATAGCAGCACTTCATGACGGCATTGCAAGAGGGCATCGAGGGGTACAAGCCACGTATGCCAAAATAAGTGAGCTGTGCTACTGGGATGGAATGATGGACATGATCGGAAAGTTCTGCCGATCTTACGTACCCTGCCAGGAGAGATCCCGTTTGAGGCAAGGAGAGTCGTTACATCCAAGACTTGAGCGAGAGGTAGGAGCTGTAGTGCATCTCGATCTACTTTTCATGCCGCTTGGGGATCAGGGCTATAACTATATCTTCGATGCGCGCGATAACTTGTCTGGCTTCGTAGACGGGCGTGCTATTCGCACAAAGGCCGGACCAGTCTTGGTGAGCTGCATCGAGGAGTACTATCTGCGCTATCCTTTCGTCAGGGAATTCATAATAGACAAGGGATCGGAGTTTACCTGCCAGGAGGTGCAGAAATTGTTATCAAGGTATGGTGTAGCAGCCAACTACACCACGGTTGCGCACCCCCAGGCAAATGTTCCCGTGGAAAGAGGACATAGTACCATTACGAGCCTCCTGGCTAAGTGGACCGAAGGTAGGCCTAATCAATGGCCAAGATACCTAAGGGCGGCATTCTTTGTCGAAAACATTACAGTGAAAAGGTCCACCAAGTATGCGTCGGCTACGCTGTGGTATGGAAGGCACGCCACCTTCCCTATCGAGAGCTTTCTTAAGACATGGAGGCGCCAGGATCTGCAAGTTAGCCTATCATTTGAAGAATTGCTCGACATTCGGGTGCCGCAGATAGGGGCGATAGAAGCAAGGATCTAGGAGGCGTCTGATCAGGTGGCAAGAAGCCGTATGGATGATAAGGCTCGATGGGATCAGTCTGCGCGAGTGAGGAAAGTGCCCTTGGAAGTTGGGGATGACGATTCATCTTTGGAGAAGCTGTGGTTCAGGAAACTCGATAAGAGATGGTTAGGTCCTTACCGGATCGTATGGGTTGGAGACTTCGGAGCGTACCAGATTGAGGAGCTGAATAAGACTGAGTGGAAGGATTGGGTATCTGGGACGTGGTTGAAGAAACTTATGGCGAGACAGGAGTTAAGAGAGATGATCGGACTACTTTTAGAATATAAGCGATAGGTTGTGTAGGTTAGATAGGTTGCATGCTGCTTGAGTATGGTCTGGTCTGAGCTTGCTTTGACTATCACCTGTTCGCTTACCCCAATGTGTGTCTGTTGTCTCCTTCGCCTGTTGTGCAGGTATGACTTTACGAAGACAGCCATGCCAAGAGGAGGGAGGGGGACACGGCCGCCTCGGAGGCCGTTGGGGGCATCAGGAGGATATGAGCGGCATGGACCTCGCCATCGAGAGAGCACTCCGGAGTACGGTGGTGACGACATCGAGTTATTCCTGGACAGTTTCTGGGAGCATGCGCGGCGTATGGGTTGGACCGTGACCCAAGGGATTGATAGGTTGAGCGGAGTCGACAGATTCGAGGGGCCTGTCGCGCGGATCCGTAGGGAGGCGACGACGAGGTCAGAGATGGAGATGAGGATGCAGGAGCTGCGACCCTCGCCTGTGGGACCTGATGGCAGGCCGATCCGCCTGGAGGTCGGGAATGCATTGGACTTCATCCCCGCCTTTGAGTGGTTCATGTAGGGGCAAGGTATACCGAGAGACGATTGGATGCAGATACTACCACTTTGGACCAGGAAAGCGGAAAGACCGCTGGCTAGGCAGGTTAGAGACATGACCCGGGACTGGGAGAGCTGCAGGGCACATCTAAGAGAGGCCTTTCGACGACCAGAGCCCCCTCAGCCCAGAGTTGAGAGGCGTCAGAGGAGTCAGAGGCAGAGGGACCCTGAACCCAGGGAGGCGAGGCCATCTCGAGGAGGAAGGCCTTAGCTAGGAGAGAGGAGGAACCGGAGCCGGAGCCAGAGGCTGAGGAGCGAGGGGCGTACCCTGAGTATGGGTTGGGACCAGTGGAGTCCCATCGGTTTGCCGAGGGTGGATTGAGGAGGTTGCCAGCACGCACACAGGAGGAGCCGCCAGCGTCTGAGGAGCCCTTGAGGGAGTTGGAGGCGCATTTGAATATCTCTCGGTGAAGAGCGTCTCCTCGGGGTGAGGAGCATGGAGAGCAGGCAGAGGCGGTGCCACGAGAGGAGGTGCCACAGGAGGAGGTACCATAGGAGGAGGTCCAGGATACTCAGCGAGAGAGAGAGCTGGGCGATGAGGGGAGACGTGCAGGGAAGGAAGTGATAGAGGTTGAAGAGGACACGCCCCCTCAGACGCCAGCGGTGGGTTTGAGACTCGGGGATGCACCAGAGAGCACTCGCCAGGCAAGGAAGAGGTTGCAGAGAGAGGAGGCCCCATTGTCTTCATCAGAAAAGGCTCCTTCGCCAGAGGGGAGAGCAGAAAGGAGGAGAGAGAGGGCAGTTGTAAGGAGAGAAGCCTTGACCCTGATTGACAGGCACCTAGCAGCTCATGCCCTGGAGCACCCAGACCTGGAGGAGCCAGCACCTACAGAGCCGCGCCAGGAGCCGTGCCAGTCCGAGAAGGAGGTGGAGGCAGAGATCCCGAAGAGGGTCGACCTCCGCACGAGGGAAAGAGCGCCAGCTGGAGAGACAACTGAGGAAAAGAGGGCGAGAAGAACCAGGAGGATAGAAGAGGTATGGCAAGAGAGGCAGAGGTTGGAGGCGGCGGGGGCACTTCTGGAGCAACAACAGGAAAGGCAGAGATCGGAGGCAGCAGGAGCGCTCCCAGGTCAGCCACCCAGCGAGCCAGCTAAGGCCCCGGAAATTCTAGAGATGTGGAGGGACTTCTGGGAGCAGAGAGGAGAGGAGCTTCCTTCGCCAACCAGAGCCGGGTTTGGGGTAGCCAGAAAGGCGGAAGAAAGGTTGGATCGCAAAATCAAGTTTCTGGCCAAAACAACTTTTGACCGGCACTTGCTATTGGAGAGCGATCTGGCAGGGAAGAAGACAAAGGAAGCAGGCCATGGAGTACGCCTGGAGGCTATGGAGGTGGAAATCCAGGAACTCAGGGCTTTGGTGGCCAGTCAGGCGGCTATCATCGAAAGCCTGAGGCAGCAATCTCAGGGAAAGGTGGATAAGCCAGAGAGCAGCCGGCAGGGAGAGCAGTGGCAGCCAGGACATAGGTTGCCAGGACAAACATCTGCAACAGAGCCTCGCCAGGAGCCACCTATGGGGAGGGTTATCCTGGAACCAGAGGAGGCGACGGCCCGGAGGGAAGCAGAGAGAGAGGCTTTCGAGTTCAGAGCTCCTACTGAGCTTGCGATGCTACCTGTAGCAGCGGCGGACCCAGTCGTATCTTTGACAGTGGAGGAGGGGCTACCACCATCTAGAAGTGAACCGGCTCAAGGCTCAGCGGAGGGATCCATGGGCGTGCTCCTTGAGACAGTGCATACTATGCAGGAGGAGGCGAGTTTGATTTCACCTGAGCGGAGGATAGAGGAGCCTCTTGAGAGAGAGATGGGGATTGAGGTGGAGGGTGTCATCAAGGGCGGGCTCCAGAGGTTGGGCACGCTTGAGTATGGGCCAGAAGGGATTGAGGATCGACCAGGGCCGAGCACCCAGGAGGTGGAGACAAGAGAGGGGCCTTTGGATATGCCTCAGAGCCATGAGCTGAGCAGGGAAGCCAGAGAAGCACCATCATCATCAGGGTCTCCGAGAGGAAAGAAGAGATCCAGGAAGTGGTTTGATACGTCCTGCTTCTACAGTACAAAGGAGGGGCATCAAGCCTTGCAGTGTCCTAATTTTTTGAAGGACAAGGCTGAAGGGAAGGTTACAGAGGAGGGAGGCAGAATGTATGATAGGAAGGGCAGGAGAGTGGAGAGATCTTCAGATGGGGGTAGGGTTCAGCTGTATAGGCAAAACCAGGAGGAGATGAGCGATAAGGACTGAGCTACCTATATGGTTGATATGTTGTGTATAGGACTAGAATTAGGATTGGATGACATCCTGTAGACCTAGGTGTTGTTTGCATTTGTCGGACAGTTTGGGTTGAGCTTTTGTTGAATCTGCCATCTTGAGGACCAAAACGTGGTGGATAAAGCGTGTACAAACTTAGTTGGCTCACACCTTGATCTTCGAGAGACAGACCCAACTTGTACTTTGAGGAGGATACTCGCGTGAGTGTGGATTTGAGTGAGTTGCGTGAGGCACAGTATGGAGACTTTTTTGTTTTTTGTACAGGATATCTTATCCCTGAGTGTATGTTGGAGACATTTCATGTGGGATATTTTATCCCTGGGTGTATATTATATCGAGACCTTTTAGGGACTACTTATTGTGTATGACGATCACTCTCACACGCACTTGTATGGTCATGGTTTGATGTATGATGATTTGGTGTGAAACATGCGTGAAGAAATATCTATGTGCCTTGTACCCTGTGAATCTGGATGAATATGAACTGTCTACTCGCCGGTATACTCGTATATCTGCCCTTGGGCAGATGAGAGGGTCAAGTATAAGGCAAGGAACTGCAATCGGTTTTTGTGAGAGCATGTGAGGATCCTGAAATGTTTGTATGATGAGTGTTCTATTGTTAAGCTATGCAGAAGACTCATAAGTTGGTCTTTTTATATGGATCATATAATGAATGGGACACCTGTGAATGGAAAGGTTGTCCATTATCTATTTGGAAGACGCATCTTCAGAGAGGGAAGATGTGTTAAAGAAAAGGTCGCGAGAGAGTTCATCCTAAAGAGAGAAGGATAGTTGTAAGACCTATTGAAGTGAGACCTCCTCTATAAATGAGGTGGTTAATGAGATTGATAAATGAAAGGTCGACTTTAAGTAATAAAAGACTGACGAGAGGGACCAAACTTTGGGTGACTATTGATGAAATTTTTTGGATGTCGCAAATGGTGCATTTTGAGAGATGTCATCAAAATGTGTGACTTTCTTGCTCTGATCAAGCGGGGAAGTCACGGCCTTATGAATCAGGCGGTGATTTTATTTTGTGATTGTGGAGAGGTTGTCGTGCTTCCTCTGTGTTGTCCCACAAACGGACTGTTAAAAACCTTTTATGTGCGACAGGTCTATGCGTAGTCCCGCAGTAGGCTTGTATTGTTGTGACACACCGTCCGACCGCTTGTGCTAATCTTGGGCATTTATAAGAAACTCAACTAGTGGTATAACTAGCATCACTAAGGCGCAACCCTTAGTGTTGGTCGCTGTTTGGCACAACCTGAGCAGAGGGTCTGCGTCTGGCCAAGGGAGTAAAAACTTAAAGGGGCGTGAACGCCTAGGAGGGTTTTACCCCTGCGGAGAGGCGTGGGATAAGTGTCGAGTCATATGAGCCTTTTTGAGGAAGTCCTGATTGAATGCTCATCAGGAACAGCCTATCGTGGCGCAACCCGCGAAGGCACTACAACTAAAATAACAATGTGGTGGGCCGTAAATCTGGAATGATCACCCAGACTATGGTGGGCCAAGATGGAGACCTAGCTTTCCTGTACTAGACTACAGGGAGACTTATGTGGAGATCTATACGATATATTTATATGTGCTTAAAGTGAAGATTTTCTTTTGAGAGGAAGGCGGGAGAATGCCTTCAAAGGTCTCGGTTAGGGCCCTCGCCCCTAGTCACGACCTTGGTTTCAGAGGAAGGGCTGGGGGCACACAACGAGGAGTCGGCGGTTATTTAGGGCACAGGGAAGAGGACAGTGACAGATCCAATGGAACTTATGTTGTAGTACAGTGAGGAGTACCCCGACGTCCGAGCGTCATGATGGCGAAGACCCAGGTTCGAATCTGGCAGCATAAAGTTGTGTTTGGCATGGATTATTGGAGACCTGAACCCTGGGTCTGTTGGTTAATCAGATTGGTACCCTGCTCGTCGGCACTTTTGGGGTTGTGGTTGAACTGATAGCTTTTGATCTTGCGAAGCGACGGGGACGTCGCTTAATATGGTCCGGTAAGCTATCGGCGCGAATACCCTTACAAGGGTATCCGCCCTGGTTTTTGCAAGTGATAGAGAATAAGCTAAGTTCAAAAGTTCGAGTACGCTGCGCAAGACGTGGTGGTGTCTGAGGGCTACGTCGATGAAACAGGTGGCCCAGTTGGAGAGTGTGTGGGCGCGCAGGCTTGAGGCGCGCATGATTTTTTCCCTCTTTTGATCACAATAGCAAACGTGGCGTGAACTCCGGTCGACGCGCTTCATTATAACAGTCATTTTGTTTTGATTAGACTGACTAACCATGAGTGCGTTGTTTTCTGGTTCTGCGGGGTACGGGGAATGGTTCAATGAACCTATATGGACTTACGCGGAAATCCAGATGATGGGACCTGATGGATTTGGCTAAGGACGGGTAGCCGTGGCGAGGCCGGAAGGCCGACGTGAGTTTGGGTGGTCCCTTGTGCAAGTGTGGGCCGGGAAGTGGTATAGGGCGTTTCCTTGGCCCCAAGGGCTGTGCGCTACCTCTCTATAAGGCGAGTCAGGTCTACTGATACCAGGCTTGGGCTTAGCCCTACAGGTTACAGCATCGGACTGGTACGCAGTAGACGCAGGGATCGAGGGTCAACGGCGTGCGACAAGGGAGCGGACAAGCGTGGCGAAAAGGCTTGAGGGGTTGATGGGCCGGTAGGACTATCCCCCTCGCCTTTTGCTACCACGGGGGCCGCAGCTTTCACCTGATTACCGTGTGCTTTGCGGTTCTTATATATCCATATATATATATGTAAATATATTATTTATTTCGAAGTTTTTAATACTATTATTATTCATCTCACACCCGTAGGTGGGCGCGAAAATCGCGCAGGGGGTATGTTGTAGTCACGGGATTGCCTGCAGTGCAATTGTCGGCTGTGATTCGTGGCTGCGCGGGGGCTACCCTGACTCCACCCGTCTGGCTTAGGACGCGGCACAATGGACGTGAAGTGGGATCCAAGAGCCTAGCTCTGTGGGTACACCCTTGAATTATTGAGATACAGACTTGTGTTTGACTCCAGGTGGTGGGCTGAAGGCTTGGGGCTGGTTGACCCCGCGGCCTAGGCGTCCTTCCTTCGGGACATCCGTTAAAATTGGAACGATACAGAGAAGATTAGCATGGCCCCTGAGCAAGAACCGGCGAGGCCCAACAACCAACTGCTTCATTCGGCATTTGGTGTTGTCGGACCACGCGGTATTGAGAAAGGCGAGGCCACAGGGGAGGGCTGAATCCGGACGCAAGGCACGCCAGGTGCATATAGGTGGGAAGGGAGGATAGGCGTTGAGAGCACCAAAAAGCGGATGGAGGAAAACGTAGACCAAGGAGTCTCTGAGGTATAAATCAAGGAGGAGCGTCTGACCATCCATTAGGGCCTAAGGTAAGCCATGCGGGAGCGCTGTCTCAGCATTGTGTATGCCCGGGGGTCGAAGCGGGATAATGACGCCGGGGCAGGGAAAGTGACGATGTGAGAAAATGAGCCTGGCATGGATCTGCGCCGGATACGTGCGGGGAAGGATGCAAAGTGCACAGAGAGCATGGCGGTGCTAAGGACAAGGGGAAGGAAGTATCGATAGCCAGGCAATAGAGAAGGAGATAGGAACGAACATGGACCGGGGCCGCGTCGAGGTTCATGTGCAAGAAGGCGGTGAAGAAGAAGCCAGTGCAGAGAGAGAGTGGGCAGTGCCAAGACAGACGACGGGCGCTAGCACCGTAGAAGGGGGGAGGGTACAATAACGGAGCGCTGCAGGGGGACGGACGCTGAAACAACAAGGAGATAGCGCGGGTGTGAATCTGACCCGATGACCGCGCCAGGTACAGACCGGTTATGGCAAAAGCAGGCAGGGCGCGGTCAGAAAATGCGTAACACGCTCGATTCTTAATGGAACCAAGCGGGGTAAGAGCGAAGATTGGAAGTTTTAGGCCGGACGAAATAGATTAGGAGGTTAGTTTTCGGAGAAAGTCAGTAGATTAGGAGGTTGGTGGAAGAGGGGGTGCGCTGAGATATGGCGGACGGAGCTATGTTGAAAAGAGGAAGGGCGGAAGTTTTAGTTACTCGGTGGTTTCCCAACCATTTCTAACGATCTGAAGTAGGATTTTGAGTTTTTTTGGATGGGTGACTTAGATGCTGGGGTCAGATCGGAGTAAGAATTAGTGTAGGAGGGATTTACAAGAAGGTGGGCTGTGCAGAGGAAACGGAGTGTGAAAACGGGGGAGGAGCATGGCAACGAAGATTCCACTCGTTTCTCAAAGGAAATCGAGTGGAAGAAAGCAATACAGCGAAGTTTTTTTTTGTGTCGTGAATCGATTGGCACAGTAAGTCTGGGCAGCGGGGGCTATCTCGGTCGAACCGTCGGTGCGGATGGAACCGGACGGCGAGCTGTGGTGCCGTTTTGCAAAGTGTGTATTTGCCCTCGTAATGAGTGGGGGACTCATATTTGCTGGCTATTTTGATGCAAATGAAGGGCTTGAGGAGAAGAGGGGATAGCGGAGAGATAGAGGACCACGAATAAGGAGAAGTGGAGGAACCAAAGTTGGAAAGGGAGACTTTTGTCAGCCGGGTTGAGACTTACCTTTTGACTAGCGCGTTGATCATCCTTGTTGGTAAAAGTAGTTGTTCCCTACCTTTTTGTTCGCATGACTGAAAGGGCGAGCGAATCTTCCCACTTTGGTGGGGAGGATTCCGTTTTATTTTATGTATTAATAGGCTGCCTAGGGGATATATGCGAAAAGGTGCAGGCTCTTCGCTTGACCAGCGACCCATTCGTCATTGAGCAAAAGAAGTATCAGGGCAGAGCAGACTACGTACTGCTGAGTGAGATAGCGGGGGATCAAGTTGGAGGCCCGGCTACAAATTGAAGCCTAACTGGTCCAACTGAACCAAGCAGCTGAGCAAGTGAAAGTGGTGTCGGTAGTAAGTCTGGAGAACTGGAGAGGCAAACTGTGGTAGTTCGAGGAGGTTGCCCGTACTTTGACATGGGAGTTGGTCTCCGGACCGGGGCGTCCGCTCCAAGGCAAGGAGGTCATACTCAGATTGCAGTCTCTGTTGAACCTGGGTTTCTGCTAAAGTTTTGATAAAACACAACTCTGAGGGATCATGCCCCCTGTTGGGCATTGATGAGGGTTGTGTCTCA